TTCCGTTATTTGTTTCTTACAGAAACCTCCAAAAGTTAGTACAAACGAATCTGTTTGCACGAGCATGGTAGCATGTCGGTACTCAATTTCGAGGTGCCGGTTCTATAGCTGCCAGATAAAACAATGATCCAAAGCAAAGAGCTAGAAGGAACAGAATAGGAACTATGTGAAGTCCATGCTTGAAATTTGATCATATTACAAATAAAACACTTATTACTTTTTCTTTTATCTATTATTTTACACAAAAGATTATATGGATATAAATTCTCTTCCATTTGGTCTCCAAAAGATGTTGGTTTTGGGGCATTTTGGCAATTGGGAGAGAAGAGAAGTATAAACATAGCATAAGCAAAAGGAGTATTGAATGTTGATCCCCAGCAAGAGAATAATTACATAGCACAGAGTTGCAATTTGTAATGAAGAAAAGGCACATGCATATGAGTGGTAACAGTAAATGGTGCTCCCGTACTTCACTTTTTCTCACCCATTCATCCCCAAAAGGGTGGGATATTTTCCTAAGAAAGCAAAATTGCACACTTTAGCTCCAACATCTTAACACGCTCAACTCTCAACTCTTTGCGCATGCATCTCAACTCTTTTTGAGCCTAAAGCAAACCAAGCAAATCCCATATAATTATATCAAAAGAAGCGAACGCAAACTACCTCTTATTTTCTCCCACAACTCCAACATATTTTGGTCATTGTTTGCTCCATACTCATTTTAGTTCCGATGTCATCATGCTAATTGACAAATGCTAGCACATGCTTACTTTATAAGTTCAATTCAAATCAAAATTTTCAACTTGGTTTTAGGATAGTTTTTATCTTCCACTCTTTAACAATAGTCTTTGCTGCAGAACAACGATTTGATTTTTTTTTTTTTATATTCAGAGAAAATTATTATAAATATACTGCTTTCACATTATTTTAAACCAACACAATATTTTACTGTATAAAATCCCATGTTGATTTTACTAAAGTTGAGCATACGTTATTTAGTGCTGCGAAAACAGAGATTATTATATATATATATATATATATATATATATATATATATATATATATATATATATATATATATAATAATGAAGGATGCTCACATATAAAATGCGGCCTAGTTAAATTTAAATATTTCTTTTTTTTTATCATTATCGAATGTCTAAAATTGATTTTATACGTGAACAACATTTTTCAAAAATTACCACTTATTTTTATCCTTCATTTTCTTATAACCGAGTGATTTTAAGAAAGTTACACAATTTTTAAGTATAGATTATAAAATAAATGAAGCGTGATCATAGTCTCGAACTAGGTTGAGTTAATAAAAATTGACTTATTACTCAAATTTAAATCGGTTCACTTAACATAAAGCCAATAAGTCGAATTTGTTTTTTTTAAAAGAAGTACAACTAAATAAATAATATAAAAAACTAATTATTTAATTTTATTTTAGTGACCATAAAATACAATATTAACTATAATTTATCTTTTTAAATATAAATAAAAAATTATAATATCATATAATTTTGAAATTATATATATATATATATATAGATAAATATGTAGATATATACTAATATGTAATAGATCAATTGCAATAAGTAAAATTGAGTCATTATATAAGAAGTATTATTATAATAATAACTAGATTATTAAATGAATATTCTTTTAAAAAATTTGATTATCAGAGTTTTTTTTTCCTAATAATATGTTAATATATAAACGTTTGAAACATGGTGAAACTTTTTATCTCCCCGTATATTTCAAAAAGCATACAATTTTCAATCTCATATCATCAGATGTAATGAGTTGAAACTGGTGTAGTAAACTGTGTGAATTAGACCCAGACTAAGATTGTAATCAATATAGGATCTAAATCTCATGTCTTAAGCTCAATCACATGAAAATAATAAATAGATTGAGTTCGAGTTCTGTTTATTCAAATTCAAAACTTTGAACAAAGAAGTTTTTCATATATATCACTTTAAAAATACATGTGTAATCCACTTACAGTAAATAGTGAGGTTAGGCATTTGTGGTCTGTGTTTGCTGGTCACCCACTTCTTTTTTACTTTTTAATCGTCTTCTTTACTTTTTCTTATTCTGTGAGGTGTATCATCGTTCTTCTTCACCCTTAAGTCACATGTCTCTGCACAGTAGGACTCACATAGTAGATATGTCTTCAATTGTCAGAGTGTTCTCTGCAATTTTTTGCTCAGAAAGACTGTTTGGAACAATAACCTAGTAAACTTGTTAATTATGCACGGTTGACCAACATGTCAATTTTTTTTTCATCTATTTTTCTCCTCTTTCTTAAAGACTATAATATGTAAATTTGCATGCCTACAAAATATTTAGAGAAAATATGTTTTTTTATTTTATTGACTAAGCATCTCAATAATTTCCAAATTAATGTTACAAACAATTGATTCAAAATAGAGATATTGATCAACATGAACACAAACAATTGCACTGTTCATTCAACTATTTGTTTAAAATATTTGAAATTCACCAATACTTAAAATACTTTAATATCATACATATCATATGTAGAGAGAATTTAAGTAATTTCAACAGCCACACTACAAGTACATCGTTTGTTAATAAACAAGTAAATAACGAATTAGTTTAAATCACTTACAAATATTCATTTAACTATTGAAATTTATTACAAATTACAATAAGTATTGATATTTATCCCTTTTTTTTCATTAGACTTATAAGTTTGATAATTTCTTATACATAATTTCGGAAATAAATGAAAAGAAGAATCATATGTAAAATACAAGAAAATTTTAAATAAATTAATAAAAATTATAAATAAAATAATATTATTTCACTATATACTAATAATTCTCACGTCATTTAGAAATTATAAATAAAATTAATTTATAAATATCTTTTCTTAATCCGTAAAACATTTTTTAAGCATGAAATCACGATCAATTAAATTTCTAAAACTAACATTATCTCAAACTCAAAATATAATAATCAATAAAAAATAAAATAATGCAACTTTCCAATTAGTAAGATTACCCATTAACTAATACTATACTTAGAGGGATCTACTTGAAACTAGCCAAGCCTAAGAACTATTATAGACGTTTCTTCTGAGGTTTCTCCGTACACTTATTTTGTAATCTTCATTATATATATAATATTGCTTATTTCAAAGAATGCAAATTTGAGTATGTACTTATAAAGATTTATAATGAATATGGGTGTAGCTACGAACACTTTACAACACTATTACGTCCTATACATATTTAATGTAGTAATATATAAATAAAAATTAATATTGCATATTCATTCGCACAATTTCACCGTCAACAGTTATTGTTTAACTTAATTTTCTCACGTCAAAATTAGAAACCTAACTTTTTATTGTCACGCTGTAATTTTTTTTTTTCTTTTTGTTATTGTTGAAGAGAATCAATGAGTCACTAAAATAGGGTAGAATAGTAACCATCGATAGATTATGTCTTTTTTCATAAATCTAGCGTTTTATTACTCTCAAGGTATTATTGGCAATAAGATTAAGAGCAAGAAAATGATTTTCACAGTTGAATAAACAATAGCAAATTAGTCAGAGTGAGTCAAAGTGTTTTAGAAGATAGTTTGAAAAGTATTTGGAAAAATACAACTCCTAACGTTGTTATCGTAAGTTCATTTTCTGCGGCAATATTACTTATGAACTAAGAAGTTAGTTTAAAACTTTACTATATGTTTTCTTGAATTACAGAGCTTGGTTAAATAATAAATGTTAAATTAATAGAAAATATACATTATTGACAAAATCATCTAAATTATAAATCTTAAATTAATAGAAAAAAACCTCTTAACGTTATTTACATTTCAAACAAAAAAAAGTGTTACGTATTTTTACTTTTCTAAATCTTTAGAAGCTATCATACCCACGTATGGAAGTAATTGTAAAAAGGAAAATTCTAACGATTTCTCTCAAAATATTCATTCAACAATTCATTTTAATATTATTATAATAATAAAAGTTTTAAATTATTATTATTATTAAATAGAACTGTAGAGTAATTGTATCGAGAAAAATATTGTTTAAATATCATTGTCCTTGTAGGAGATGGAGTCTACGTTGTATTATTTTGACCGGAGTGCTAAGATAGAGATAGAGAGAGAGAGAGTGGAAGTAGTTGCTACAGCACTGTACTGCCGACAAGATCCGCAGATGTTGTGCACAATTTTTGGTTAGTTTTTTACATGCATGTTATGTTAAACATGGCCTTTTAGGGGAAAATAATGGTCTTTTTCACAAGCTGAATTAAACTTTATCTATTGACAGCTGAGAATGTGATTGAAAATTTATGGACCGTCACTTTCAACTTGGGGGCAAAAAACAAGCTGCAACGGTTCCTCGAGGACAAAACTTAATCATAACAAAAATGAAGAATATAGAGAAAAAGAGTGCAGGAGAATGATTTCCAAAGCTAAAATATAGCATCTACCAAGTTCATTAAGGCAAATCCAGCTAAACTTGTCATGCAAACGTACAAGAGATAAATGCTCTTTGTCTTGTCATTATGTCAATTTGTTGTATACCTTTTTTTCTTGTTTTTTAAAGATATGGTAGCTATATCATATCTGTAAAACAGGTAGAGAAGCATCTTCTGTTGGGTCCATGCATCTTTGACCTTGTATGGCTACAAATTACTCATATATAGATGAAAGGAGGAAGTGACCACCAGGGAAATCTCGTCGGCAGGTAAAGTTACATGTATGGAGAGAGTGTGATTAATTGTCATTGCTACATCAATTATAGGCATTAAAAGAATCACAAGTCCCAATAAATTAAACTCGGAACCACAAGCATTAAATTAAGCTAATAAGAAGAATACAAGTCAAAAACCACTGCAAGATCAATAATATAAACAAGACTTACAAAACTAAGGACTCAACCACAAACCTCACCAACAAGCCAAAATGTCCACCAGCAAGCTACTAAGAGAGGATGACCCGGACTATGCTTTTTACTGGAAAATGTGGATCCAGGCGCATACAATCAGCAAGTTGAAAAACAGCTTCAGTGTATTCCCATTGGTTGCTGATGCAGCAGAAGCAATAACTTGAGGCCTGAAAGAAAACAAAACAGTTAGCCTCAAAATTTAGAACCATTCATAATCTAGTTAATGAGGAGAAGAATTTGTAAAATACTTCTGCAATTTACTGAGGGCACCACAGAAAAGGGCATTGTCTGGAATGGGCAGCTCAGTCTTGTTAGTAACCTCGGGGTTGACAACCCTTACATATGTTTCTTGACCAAGGTACCATGAATCCAGGTTTTCTGTTCTGAGATTCCATACTCCTACATTGTCAAGGGAAACCAAAATTGCTGTCCATGCTCCAGGGTAAACCTGAATGAGAGGCAATGAAAACAAATAGATGTGAGATTATAATTTTTAGGAATCCATGATCCAGCAGTTGTTCTATTAAGGTACGTGAAAGATGTCTGAAAATAATATGTTCAATGATTCATTGAAATGGTTTCATACATACTTTGTTAAACCATCTAGATTTTGAACCACAACCATAAAAATAAAAAAATTCAAATCATTAAACAATACTGAATGATGGCATCAGTTAAGTTCAAGGTACTAGAATGTTTTTATATCAGCATATTAGTCGTCAATATGTTAGTTCTTGTTAGTAGGAACAATGACTTAGTTCTCTTTCTCTTCAATTTTAACCACCAAACTAATCTTATAAGGTAAAGAACTGATTAAGCGATGATAGAACACAGATTTTAATGGTAAAGGACACAGATTACCCATATACTAATGGCGCAACTCAATTATACATTTCATCCTAGGTTATTAGTTCAGTATGACTAAACTAGTATGTCATTCAGGAGCGTGTAAAAGAGGTTATTTACAGTTTGCAGCAAAATGCTCCAACTTTCCAAATGCCTTGAAACAGAGACTTCAATAGGAACATGAGTGAGAATGTGAAACAAATAATATTAAAATTATGGACTTGTGATATGAAACAGCACGGAAGTTCTGGTGATGCATTTGACAGCTTTGGAAACATGAAAGTTTCAATGATTTTGGAGTTCACTGTTTAGAAGGAGTCAAACACACAATCTAAGATAAAATTATACCTGAGCTGTAGTACGAGCTATTCCATCCCACTTGTTATATGTGCCCCTGCTATTCTCAGACCAATCACCATAATCCATCCTGCAGCCAACAAATCAAGTTTTGTTATTGGTTCCTGAAACATGGAATGGCCCTTAAAAGAGAGGGAATTAGCCTGTACCCGACTACAAAAAATGCATATCCACTCATGTGATAGGTATGCATCTTAGTATCATTGTTCTGCAATATAACTTCCATAAATCCTCTATAAGTTCCATTAATGACTGATGTTTCTGCACGAGGTGGTCCAGTAATAGGCTTGGTAGGGAAATCAAGCTTGTATACTCCCTTCAATTTGTATTGGTCAGCCAGCCTGATTGGAGTGGAAGGATTGACAAAAGAAACTCCACTGACTGTTGCGCGCCTCTTCCCATCAATTTTCTCTGGTGGCTTATTTTTTAGTACATATATCTCAGTCACATTGATGGAACCATATCTGAAAGACCCTTGTGGATTCGGACGAGCACCACTTGCTGATACATTCCATCTACACAGTTAACCACAGAAACGCAATAGTGAGTGATGATAATTTTTTAATTCTCAAATTTGAGAATATAATCTACATATGTTCTAGTGGATTATCAATAAAAAAAAATAATAATAATAATAATAGTATTATATTAAAGTTTGATATTGGCAATTAAAATACATTTAGTATTTAATATATCATGCATTTGAGACTAAACACGTTTGAAAATTGATAACACATCTGAAAATTTCTTAACTACTCAATCAAACTTCCAAAAACAATACAGAAAAACACAATAACAAGGATAGTTATTGTTCAATTTGAAAGTATTCCCCAAGATTGAAGTTTGAAGCATGACTAAATGAGTATGTAAAATTGCAGCATAGACCTGATGGATCTTGCTTGGTTCATTGAGTAAGTTTTGTCAAATTGATCATCAGGAGCCGGTGGGAGAGGACCACGCGCCTTCCCCTTGGAATTTGTATAGCGCAAGATAGCAACTCCAGTAACTCTTTGCCAACGTGATTCATTCACGAACCTAGCACTTGCTACAATGTAGTAATCTGTGCTTGCATTCTGGTCCATGGTCACGAGAAAAGAATAAGATTGTCCAACATGAATATCTAAGCTAGTGTAATTCTGTTGCACCGTGTAAGACCCCTCTGTCTCTGCTAGAAGTAAGTTATGACTCTGGATCCTGAAATTCAGACTCGTTGATACTCCAACATTATGTACACGAAGTCGGTAAGTTTTTCCTGTTGTACATCATGTGATGGCCATTAAAATCGTTTAACTGGTAAATCATTATCAAAAATGCCGTAACACCAGACCCAAAGTCATCCATGGAAACAAATTATAATGGATACAGCTGTGAGTACCACAAGAAGCTTTTCTTTCGAATAGGATAAACATCTACACAAGATATAATCAATGTACAAAGTAATTATTAAGAAAAAGAAAAAGTAGGTAAAATAAATTTTGCCTCTCCCTTAAACTAAAATTAACTTGTACATTTCACCTTTTGGAAAGTTAGATGAGAAAGTGTCTACAAACGTGAAGTGTATAAGTTGATTGTAGCTTACGATAAAAGTCAATTCATTTTACATATTTCTCTTCTTATAGAAAAACGTATCCGAACCAATCAAAACGTATACACAACACTATAAGAAGACAGATTTCGCTTGCTTTTGCATAACTTTCTCTCTATTGTTTTTCGCACAATTCAGAAATGCGTGTTAGTCAAGGATTCCATGTTTATATCCCTAAAGAAGCATAACATCAGAGAAACTATTATGTTTCCCACTTTGTCCCATCGGAATTAAATTTATTCCAAGAACCTACCGGGATGAACTTCAATTGTTTCATAATCAATGCCATCAGGAACAAGTGTATCGTTATATCGGTAGGGGCCTTTCCCATTGATGAGAACACCATCCGGCATGCCAAGATCTTTTCCATCATCAAGGGCCTTCCTCATATCCTACATTCCAAAGCAGAACCAGTAGCAAACAGTTTAACCCATGTTATTTCCTGCACAAGTATGAATTGAATTGTAGCAAAAATCAGGAGCTTCCAAAAATTCAACCATGACACTAACCGTATGGTTGCGAGTGTACCAATCTCCAATAAAAACGACAATGTCCCCATGTGGGGTATCAAAAGGAATAGGAATGATGTCTCGGTTGTTTATGATGAAACCCCCAAATCCACCAGCAGCTCTCTGAAGATGAAGGGAAGGGAAGTAGAAAAAGCTTCCAATCTGATCCTTGACCTGAAACTCGTAAGTCCAGTTCCACTTAGGAGGAATAGGACAATTCGTGCCAAGAACACCATCTTGCCACGAACTCCTCCTTTGCTGAATCCCAGACCTGTCTCATGAAAGTTTCAAAAATTCAGCCCAGCGAAACAAATCTAAGCTTAATATGAAGTTTTGAAACTGAACAAGCAAGCACCATACCAATGAATGAGGAGGCTCTCGTCCAATTTGTTCCGAACATTGACAGCAACGTTGTTGTTTGTGGTAACATTGATAGTAGGACCTGGGAACTTCTTGTTGATAGCAATGACCTGCAAAAACGACGCAGACAAGACATGAGGGCCAGCACAAAAACCCCGTGGCTCTTTCTTCCTACCCACCTACCAAACTCTTACTAAGTCAAACGAACAAACACCTTATAACGGCATTCACATAACATCCATTCACAAATTCAAGGGTTAAAGTATCACATTACTATCTACCAGCGTCCCATTATGCAGATCTGCAAGTAAAGCTTGAAATTTTAAACGAACAGCAAGAGAGAGAAAGAACCTGCTGAGGAACTCCGAGAGGAGAGGCAGTGATGTAAGAGACCTCAAATTCGTAGGCAACAAATGGATCCAAAGCGGAAGAGAGGGTGAGAAGCAAGGAGACGTTGATGAGAAAGAAGAAGAGAGCTCTAGAAGAAGACATTGTGTGGAACTTTGTGGGTATTTTTTTCCCCTCAAAAAGGATATAGAGGCAAGTTGAGTAGCTTTTATCCTTTTCAGTGATTTTACATTATCAGGGAAAATAGAAAGAAAGAAGAGTTTGAGAGAGGTAGAGAGAGTGGAGAGTAGAGAAAGAAGGCCTCTAATCCAGCAGCAGTTTGAGGTTTTGAGTACGTAGTAGCCAGACACTGCAAGAAGCTGAATCAAAAAAGATGACAGCCAGTAGCCAGTTCACACCTTCTCATTTGTTTGTTCGCTACTTCACTGTTGTCTCTCCTAAATAATATTCATTTTCCTCCTTTCTTAAGAAAACTACTTGTTGGTTACAAATTTAACGTTCCCATGCCATGGCCTCACACTTCCACACCAGTTTCATCGTTACAAATAGCTACTAAAGTATTTTTTTATATCTAATGATACTTGGAGATAGATGTAAAAGAGATCAAATAATAAGTATGTTTTATTAGGTGTATGAAAAAGCGAGGCATTTAAAATCGGTGGTCAGTAAAGTAACATTCAAGTTCCACTGTAACTTATTATTTAATATATCTATAATCTCCCTTTGAAATCTGACAAATTGATTTATGCGACCATTCTTTTACACAAATAAATAAATAAACATATAGCCGTTGTTGGCACTGCAGCGTTCTTATTAGTGTTGTTCTATAAATAAAGAAACGGACACAGTATTGTGCATTGGCAATTTGTTTTATTCTATTATGAATTAATTAATAATTAATTAAATTTGGTGTTTGATGACGGGTCACTTTCCGTTTTGGTTCGAGAGTGGCAACGCCGTAAATTGCGTTACAACGGTCGGATCTCTTGAAAAAGCGCCACATGCTTGCCAGCGGGGAGCCATTCTACAAGTGGGGCCCACCCAATCCTCTATTCCGCGTAATTACCGTCGATCCTCTCTTCTCTCTTTGACTTACCTCAACGGTCCCTGATGCATCCCACGTGAGTCCAGCCATGAAATGTGTTCAATCACACCCTCAAACATTTTTTTGATTTTTTATTCTTATTAAGACAAATTTTGATTTTCACACACTGGTGTGACACTGCATTACCCCCTACTTTCCTTCCGCGCCGGTTAATAACGGTTTTGCAGAAATAAAAATATTATACAATCTTATTTATTAGTATTACATTTATAAAATAATTATTTATTATTTTATTAATAAAGAAAGTTATTAAATGGATATTTATTAATAATGGGTCATCAAATTTTTTTAAAATAATAATATCTTTCTGGCATTCACTCAAATCTATGAAACATTAAAAGTCACTTTCAATACAACTAATAACTCCGCATGGCAAATTTGATCACAAGAGTTATAATTAAGCTGCACAATCAAATTATGGTTTTTTTTTATAATGAAAGAAAAACGCTGTTTATTTGGGGTCTGATAAATGAAAAAATTATATCTATACAAAACCCTTCTGTGGAAAGAACTAGGACCTCATACAACCAACATCGTGATTATCCTGACGTGGCCCTAGCTTTTTTCTAGCAATATCTGACACAGTTAAACATTCGCAAGAAGAAGACTGAGTGGCTCAAAATGTTGCATTACTTGACCCAAAAACAAGCCTACGAATGTTATAACGAATAATTAACCCACCCATGAGTCATATAATTCGATTTAATTTTACTGATAAAGGTAACATTTCAACCACATGGTGACTTGTCTACCCTATTCACGTACAATTTGAGAGGAAGAAAGCTGACAGAGTCAATGATTCAGGAATATTAACCTGAATTTATAAAACTTGTGTACATCCAGCAACAAAGAAATAAATAAATAAACTGTGTATTGGAAGACTGACAAAATGATTGTGTTTGAACAATGTATCAGTAGATGCACACCCTGTTGGATAATTAAAACCTGTTTTCAAAAATTAATAAACGAAAAGTCTTTATTCTTTTTTTATCTCATTATGATGGTCATTCTACCATTTTTTTTTTTCTATTGATAAATAAATTGCAGTTGTTAGTGTGGAAAGGTGAGGTAGTAATTAATACTCCAGCGGTGGATAGCATGTGGACATAATTTTGTTGATGCTTTTCCTAACCAAGTATAGGTAACGTGACTAAAGTCTAAACACACAAGTTCGTTCTTGATCCTCTCAATATTCTAGTAAAAACAAATCTTTATGAAGAGAAGTCGGTTACTTACAGGAACCAATCTCTAACTTCTTAACACTACACGAATTCTTAATCACTAGATTGAAGTAAAATGAGTAAAATAAATGAAATGAAATAAAATTGTCTAAGTTTTGATTAAATTAAGAAAAATTGGTGTTGCGAGGAACAGCAGCGTAGCAATTGAAGGGCCGAGCATGTGATTGAGATGCTATTAAAAGGGTAGGGAGATGGACAACAGACTGTAAAGCTGGTAGTTGGGAATTATAATGCCATTCTAGTCTCGCAATCCACGTCATTTAAGGACACTCACCCCTATCCTCAAGGACTTTTCATCATATCAACCTTAAACATATATAAATTAATTATTAATGTGTCACCTATTCTTAGTTTAATTCCTAAGTTACCAACTTATTAAATTCTTTTTAATATAAATAAATAATTTTATTTAATTTCTAAGTTGATTTCTTTATATATTTTTAATTCATTGTTATGTATGTATATATACACACACCAATTTGATAAATTTTATTGAAGAGGTCATGATCTATTTAGTTGAAAGATCTCCAACCATGAATATTCTTAAAGGATATTTTCACAATAACAAAATCAACCCATCAAACAATAACTAACATAAAGCTAAAGTATAAATTACACAAGCAAGGGCTTAAAAAGATTAAAGGTTTAGGTAGAACTTTTAAAACTTTCTACTGATCAATAAAAAGTTATGATCCATTTAGGACTTTAAAAATGAATTAGATTTAAATCAAGTAACTAATGAATAAAGAAAAGGATTAGAACATGAAGCAAATGTTAAGTTATGGAACTTGAGTTCAAGGAGAAATAGGTTTATGTCTAGACTTAGGTTGTTGTATAATATTTTGTGGTCTCAAGTCTCATGAGATTCTTGATGGTTGGAGACTCGGATGTTGAGGTTTAATATATATTTTAGATTTTGATAAATAGTATATTTTTATTAAGAAATTGTTGTTTTTAGTACAAGCAGTTAAAATAAAAATCTTCTTATTATTATCTCTAAACTTTTAATATTTAAAATTAAAATGAATTTAATTTTTTTAATAATTTTTTTTAATCAAATAGGTTTTCGTAAGTTTATCAATTCGAAATTCGGTGTGACATTTTTTAATCAATATAATAAATAATATATTTAAAAAATTACTTAAATAAAATCAATTAGATCTATTTATTTTTCATATATAAATTTTATTATAAAAAATAAAATTTTCTCCTTTCTTGTTTAATATTTTTTGTCATTTGACTTATTTTATTATTTTTCTTTTTCCTTATTCACTTATTTATTTTTTCCTCTTTTTTGGTTTATTTTCTATTTTTCTCTCTTTTTTTATTCTGTCTTATTATTTTAATTAAAAATAGTATATTAAAATTTGATAAAAATGTATGAATATATATATATATATATATATATATATTTAAATCAACATGAAAAGTAATAAAATATTTATTTTAAAGTATTTTTTAATAAATAATTTATAAAATTACGTAATCTAACTAACTATCATAATTTAATCTAATTATAATTATATTGAATTATTAAATAATAAATATTTTATATTTTTTAATTAAATGAATAATAATTTATTATGATAAAATAATTTTAAATTAATTATTTATTATCATCATAATTTTAAATAATTAATTATTATTTTTATTTTGATGTTTATTTTAAAATAACTTTAACATGTTTATAATAAATTTAAATATAATATTTTTAATTAAAAGAATAAGCATAAAAGGAGAGAAGAACAAAAAATTATAAGAGAAAAGAGAAAACTAATAAAGAAAGAAATAAAAAATAATGAATGAATGAGAATGGAGAAAAACCAAAGAATGAGTAAGGAAATAAAAAATATGAATAATAAACTAATTTTAGTTGGATATTTCTTATAAAGATTAAAATATGAAAAAATTTCTTTAAAACAGAACATAAGTCAATTATATAACAAAATATAATATTATTTTTAAAAAAATTTAAATAATTAATTATAAGTTTTTTTATTTATAAATTACTTAATAAAATATTTTAATTTATTTTTTACTTTCTATTAATATATATATATATATATATATATATATATATATATATTCTAAAAATTGTGTTAAAAGAGAAATAACTTTGGCGTCTAAATTTAAGATATAAGAAATATACACAAGGATATTAATAGGAATGGTAAAAGTGTGGATAAAACATGTTTTCCTTCAAAAACATTCAACGATTATGCTTATTTCCACCTTTAAATCTCGTCGAATTTAAAAATTAAGTTTCTGAACTCGTCTAATTTTGAACTTTTTGCCTCTTATTTATCTATAGTACGTGTTATTTATGAAAAAAATTATAAATCAATTATAATAAATTATTTTTAATATTATTTTTTAATAAATTATTTCTTATATATAAATAAATATTTATAATTTTTAAAAAATTATTATTAATAATTAAATGTATAATTTAATTATTAATAATAATTTTTAAATGTATTATTAATAATAATTAAATGTATGGAGTAGTTGAAAGATACAAAACTGTAAATAGTCAAGAATGTGGATTCATTTAGCTTTTAAACATGAAATATGAATATCAAGATGTCAAGCCCAAAAATCACAAATGTATGAAATTTAAACTTTCAACAACTTATTTCTATATTATCGAAAAATTATAATTAGATAAGTAAATATGAGAAATCAATGACTATGATTACCAACATCCTACCACACACATATCATTATAGTTGAGCGGATGTGGGAATCAATACGTGAATTTATACATAAATCTGGATGCTAAAATTTAAGTATGAGTTTAATCTTATGAGTTTAATCAATATGTGAGAAAAACTCTCTTACGCATTACTATCCTTCTAAACATGTGATAAAGCTCTTTTTTAAGCGTAGATGTTTATTTTTTTATGGATGAAGCTACGGGGATGCACAAGGTCATCCAAAATTTTTATTTTCCTTATAAAATTATATATATATATATATATATATATATATATATATAAAAGTTATTTGCTTTAAAAATTTTGTAGTTACCCCTCAATTTTCATCTTTTCCTCTTCCTACTAGTGTACGTCAGATCACTACAATTGAAATTACCAAAGGTTAAAATCCGTAAAAAATTGAGTTGTCAGTAGAATATTATTGACGGATTTAAATAATCCGTGGGTAAATATTTTAAGATTATTATTAGATTAAGAAAATTGTCATAAAAAAATATTAAAATTTCTGAAGGTCAAAATCCGGAAAAAATTGAGTTGTTAGTAAATATTATTGACGGATTTAAATAATCCGTCAGTAAATATTTTAAGATTATTATTAGATTAAGAAAATTGTCATTGTCAAAATTTGAACTCGGTTCCTGTAGAAAAGAGATCGATGCTCCAACCACTAAGCTACTAAATTTTTTTATAATAATTTACAAATAAATTATATTTATATACAAATATATTTATATATTTATATATAATTAAATATTTATTTTTTAAATTATTTAATTTAATAAATTATTATAAATTAATCTAATTATGATTAAATTAAATTATTAAATAAAAAAATATTTAATTTTTTAATTAGGTAAATAATTAATTTATTAGAATATATTAGGTAATTATTATATAATTTTACCAACGGATATATCCGTTCATAATTAATTGTTAATTTATTGATGAATTTATCGATGAAAATATTCGTCGGTAAATAATTGTTAATTTACCGACAGATTTACAGACGGATATATCCATCGGTAAGACCAAATTCAATATTCGATCGGTAAGACCAAATTCTATATCCGTCGGTAATTTTCGATTGGTAATAACTCATTTTTCGACGGCCACAAATCCGTCGGTAAAAATTCATCTGAAATATGCGATTTTCTTGTAGTGTATTAGATGTTTGTTTAACTCTTGCAACATGGGTTATGTTAGACAGTTTTTAATCTCATAGCTAATATTGAACGTATTATCTAAGTCATTAAGGACAAAAGTTAAATATTTTTTTCTTCCATCCAAGTTATCAGAACCAATATTAAAAAGAATAAAAAATTATGGGTTATAATTAATAAATATCAAATATTCATGTTTTTTTTACTTAGTTATGACACTTATCTCATGTAATTATAAGAAAATTAATAGTAAAAATTCTTAATAACATCTAATTGTTTACATTTTCAGGTGTTCAAGCATAAATAGTTAAATTAATGCAAATCATGTCAAAATGTAGGTGATACTTAGGAGATAATAATATTGGACTTAAAAGAGCAAAACAAATTTTCATCCATTGAGCGGAATTGAGATAACCATATTCAAGGCAACAAAAATTGTTTAACGATTATAAATTCGCTAAACGGATTTGTGTATGAGAAAAAACACTTTTGAAAGGATAAAAACACTTAGCCGATAGGAATCCACTAAATGGATTAAAGCCTTCAAGATGAAGAAACCTCATTCCGCTTAACGAATTAAGAAGCTATTGAGCAAATAGATTAAATGTTACGAGGTTTCTTGGACATAAATAGAAGAACTGAAAAGAAAAAAGACATATACACGAAGATAAAGAGAGTACAATTTCAAGAACCAGGATATTGGAACATAGGCTAGCTAAATTTGAGTTTTCCTTCTTTTACATTTAGGATTTCTCTCATCATGTGTTGTTAATTTTTCTTCTCTTGAATTAGACATAACTTGTTTAACTTTATATATATATATATATATAACTTTCTTTTTTTCATTCTCAATTCTTGATTTGATTATGTTATAATATTTTATTTGATTATGTTATAATATTTGAATATAGAGGAATCTAACTTCATGATTATAAGAATAGATTTATATTGGAAAATGATTTCTATTTCATATGATTCAAATCAATATGAAATTTTGACGTTGGGAATAAAAGTTGAGATTATTAATAGATGAAAGTCTATGTTAAATACAAGATTTTTAACTAATTTATAAAGATTTTGATTGATTATATTAATTTGAATTGAATATTTTAGACTTTCAATTAAGAATAAAATTGATGTATATATAGATAATAGGTTGCAAATATATTATCCAATAAAATCTAATTCAGCCATTTATTTGATTGCATTTATCTATTAACAAGTTTTATATCGATAACTTCAATTATATAATTGTTTTTTAAGAGTTCACTGTTTTTATTTAATGAAAACTAAAATTATCTTATATCTTCAAAGTTTACGAGGATATGAGAACTTTTTTCTTACCGTTATACTACAATTGATTCGGTTTAATTATAGAGAGAAAAATCTAACAATTACATCTTGACTTTTATTAGTTTTTACTTTTGAAATATTCAGAAATTTATGTTAAAGAATCTAAAGAAAATTTGTGAACATTTAAACATATCAAATTATCACCTACTATTTAAATATTATAACCCAAAATTGTCCAAAATGCGACTATAAAAAGGTGCAATGTTTGGAATGATATTTAAGAAAATTTCTGAAATTAATTTCAGGAGTGAATTAGCTTCTTTTTTGTCTTGCTACAAGTTGTAAGTTACAACAAAACAAATTGTTCGAAGAAAAAAAAAACACAAATGGATTTCCTTGATAATTAATGCAATCGCTAAAACTTTCGTCCTATATTTTCTCTGACCAACCATCATACAAACTAATAGTAATATTGAGTATTAAAATCACACCTAATACATTTCTTATTCCAAAAAGTTATAAATTTATATAGTTATGGCCGCTGTCCATAAACTAAAAATACTACGCCCTCTTAATTACAAGACCTACTAGGAAATACAAAATCGATTCCCCCATATAGCTATAATTTACAAGTCATTGCATCAAATACACACATAAAACATATAATAAAACAAGAAATGGAACCTTAAAATGCATCTCCAAAATTATGACATGTCACATTCTCACATTCTCACATTCCACCCATTATATGATAAATTATTTTTTATCTCCATGCATATGCCAGCATGGATGGGTATGTGGTTCAAGTGCTCAGATGTACCTAGAGTGCATGACTGCATTAAAAAAGTCACCTTGAATCCATTATACATGGATCACAAAAATGACATCAGATGCATGAAAACATCTTGCAACCACAAACAAAATTAACCCTCCAATTAACAGTAAGAGAAAAATTAGCAAATAAGGGGTTAGACATGATAGATTGATCCGCCAATCTCATCTAAAAAAATAGAAGAATAGATTTATAGTTTTAACTCGCCTGTTTTATCCTAATCTCATTTAGATTGTTATATCAATGGATAATGACAGTTGTTTAAAAAAATATTTATATATTAAAATTAAAAATAAAATAATTATAATTAATAATATTATATATTTTTTATGTCAAATTATTGAAATAGATAAATATATTATAATATTATAATTAAATTATAAAAATTAATTAATTGAGTTTAAATTATTAATTATATTAACATAAATATAGTAATTTTTTAATTATTTAATAAAAATATTAATTAATAAATAAAAACTTAAAAATGATTCCTATAATTAAAAATATATTATTAAAATATATATATATATATATATATATATATATAAATAATATAAAAAAAAACTATTGACCGACTAGTCCGTCTCACGGGTTGAAATTTTTAACTTGTTCTGATGATAGTGGGCAAATCTATCCCATTCTGTTTTGGCACTTTCTTCCTGCACCTCTACATCCTAATTAGAATAACTAAAACACCCCTTCAATAATTTTTTTTTCAAATTCTAATCCTTTATTCTATTTTCCTGCTAAAGTTCTGCACCTGAGATATGCAAATTTGATTTTTTGTATTATCATTTCGATTCTAGATCGTTTCCAACCCTTAAAGGTGAGTAACCGTTAATAATATGTATCTATTACATGTTCATACTCTGAAATTTCACATTGAAACCTAAATTGGTCGATCTAGAAAAATTTTGTGAAAATCAGATTGAGATCCAAAACATTAATCCAATCCAAAATGCATTATAGAAACACATTTAAGAACATTCATTATGGAATATATTTCTGGAAAAGGAAATATGGAAATATATTCCGCATAGGATGTTTTGAAATGCACTTTTGGAAAAGTTAATTTAAAAATATATTCTAGAATTTTTTTTAGAAACATGATCTCGAAAGTCAGTTCTAAAATACATTCGTAGAATTAATTTTTCACAAAATACATTCTAGATTGTGGGTCCCCAGACCTATTAATCTATAATACATTTCTAAAAAATCAATTATAGAAATATATTTTTGAACCTATTTTCTAAAATATGTTTCTATAAATTTTATCTTGAAACTGTATTCCCAATCTTTAAAATTGTATTTCCAATCTTGAACCATGTTTTTAGCCAAAAAATTTATTGCACAAATAATATATGTGATAAAAAATTTGATACAAATTAAAAATGTTTAAATATTCTTACATTATTCTTGTAATTCTTAGAATAATAGGAGAAGAAAAAATGAAAATATTTTAGTAGCATTTAAAAATTAGATATTCAAAAATTTAAAAACCAGATATTCAAAAATTTAAAAACCAGAAATAAACACTTACAACGATAAAGATAGATATAAAAATAAAATAAAATATAATTTAATTATAAAAATATGAAAAAAATACCCACATTTTTTATGTACCAGAGACGACACTCGGTACCTAATTTTATTTAGACATACGCGGCACAACACCGTACTTCTCACAATGCCCGGATAAAAACGAAGAGTATAATTTTATGGTTCATATAGCTTTTAAATTGATAAATTAATTCTTTAAGTTTTTAAAATATATGAATTTTTTTTTTATATGAAACCGAGTAAATAATTAGATTCGATGTTCTTTTTAGAAAATTGATACTCACGTAGTTTTTTAATATATTTGAGTACTAATTCATCATATTGAAAGTATAATTATTAAAACCAAGTTTATTAAAAACGATTGGGAAACATTTTATCTCTTAAATTAAACTAATATAACTAACAGTAGTTATTTTCATTCGTTTTTTATTTTATCAAGTTTATATTATTGAAAATTTAACATGATAATTGTGTATTGATATTTTTATTCTTAAAGTTTATTAATTTTGATTTTGATATTTTTTACTTCTTTCCGTTCGGTCAATGTTTCTACGTGTGTACGTAGACGAGATGAAAATATTCATCAATTTAAATTATATTTATTTGTTCTTCTTTTAAATTTAAGCTTAACAACTATTTTGTCCCCAAATACAAATGGTTGAAAATAATCTGTATTATTAGGATCAAAAATCAAATTCACCTTTAAAAACTCCTTTGCAATAAACATTAAAACTTCTTACTGGATTTCTCTCATACAGTTCCATACATTCCAATAAAAAAAATCCTACATTTTGCAACAAATGAATGGTTGGATAAAAAAAAAATCTGAGTGAGTCATAATAAACGTGCTACAAAAATGGGTTTTCTCTAACCCGAAAATAAATCTGATTGGTTCGCTTTTGTGTCTTGGTCGGATGAAATATTTTTTAATACGTTGTTTGCGTGGAAGTAATGATAATCCCTCAATCAGTTTTAGAAAAAAGTAATTCAAAAGCATACATTAAAAAAATGATTTTCGTAAAATTCACGACATGTAAATATTCAATTCTGACGTATGCTTTAAAGACATTTGAATTTTTTACTGTATTGATACAAAAAATACATCAGGTAAGAAAAGACCCTCAAACAATTACATGATTAATAGAATTACATCGGACAAATCGAACCCGAAATTTTAATGTTTATTGTAAAAGTTTTTTTTTTTCTAAAATTTTTACATATTTTTTGACAGTTAAAAACTCTTATCGTGTTAATTACTTGTGCAAAATTATGTCTAGCTCCATAAATATTGTTTTGTTACCGTTTTGAAAACACATAATTTTTATGTCTAGCTCCGTAAATAACTGTATGAACAAGAAAAAATATTTATTAAACTTGCTTTTCAAAACACAAACAAATTAATATAAAAAATAAAGTGAAGATTTTTATACAGAATTGGAGAACATCAACATCATATTTCTTTGAGGAACAAAATCTCATATAAGCATATATAATTTGGCAAAAATGATGGAATGGACATCTGGGTTTAAGGGAAGGTTATTAAATTGATAAGCGCATTTTGCCAACCCAAGAGGTTTTCCAATTATAACCTTTTTTATCTCCAGTTTGAAGTTTAAATCTTCTGATCTGGGTGGAATGGGAATGGGCGTATAAATGCAGAATTCATTTGCCAAACTTTGAGTGAGGCTGTCACAGTGGCCTCAGTAGCATTGTTGAACAAGAACAATCTAGCAGCTCCATAGATTGCCTTTGTTGGATAAACCCGTGATGTCACACACGTTCTTCCACCTTGAGCAAAGCTTTCAACAACAGAATGGTCCACCTAAATTATAATTATCATTAAGATTCATTAGTTAATATGAATAGTATCCATAAGATGTGTGCTTATTTTGAGGATGAAAACTATAGAAAACTAAAAGGAACATCTCAATTACCAGAATCCGTAAGGAAAACTTTTCGCCTTTAAGTACTGGAACAACGCTCCCAAAGATTTGCTTGCGAACATCATTTGCCTGAGATGACCTACGAAAACAATGTAACAAATTCAATATTGAATTTAGTACAACCTTATTTTATGTCTCCTATTATGTTATCTCAGTATATGGATAACTTTCAGGTTCAAAATTAACAGATGGTAGTCCAGTACCTTGATTGATCAGAGCAAAAGGAAGTCTTAAGATTTCCATTGCTTCCTTTAATGACATAGAAGTACACAGGAGTATACTCAGAAAGTCCCTCATCTGCCAAAACCAGAAGACCAAAAGGTCCTAAAGCACCACGTTGTGCAGCCCCACCACTGGTGCTGCATGTGAACTCTTCTTTGGATTGAGCTGTTTTCTCTAGGGATTCCGTGTCTATCTCAAACTCCGCAACAACGTCCAACTATTGCATTGGTAGACACAACACAATGATTGAGATTCTCATTTATTCATCCATAGCTAAAATTTTACAGCTTAATTAGAAACTTGATGTATATCATTAACACAAACCTGTGTGGCTGTTTCAATATCTGCTGACACCACTGACCCTGGTTTAGCCTTCAAATTTTTGAATTCATCACTTCTCAATCTCAAACTCTCTACCTCAGCAACGGGCCACTGAAGTAAGTTGCTGCCAGTCTTCTTATCAAGCTTCACAGTTCTTGGAATACTCTGTACAATCAAAATTTAATAACGCTATTACTAAGTAATTAGAAAGTTAGAAAACACGTGTACACATTGAAATAATAGAAAAAAGAAAAAAGCTTTTTGAATGTGTAAAAGTATTTTACATATTATCATATATGATAAGTTTACTAATTTTTACAATAGTTATCTTAAAGTTATACTTCTCATGATTTTTATTGATCAAGAGTGAAATTTTTTCAGGTGTATAAAGAGTAATTTTTATATCATGTATAAATATACCTGAACTGAAGCCCAGCCTTTAGCGACATCTGCATATTCACTGTCAGACTCTCCAATCCAACCCCACAAAATTCTCCTATCCTTATTCTGATCATAAAATGTCTTGGATGCATAGAATAGTCCATAGTCATACCTTAAACCAACACCAACATCATTCTTAACATCATCTGGTGTGAACAAAACCTTGCTCTCGTCATAAGTCCCAATGGTATAGTAATCATGTCTATCATCATCCAAGCTCACCTTCATGACATGCTTCACCTCAGCCCCATTAATAGAGGTATTCAATCCTTTCTCATTTTTTCTGGATACAGGGAAGAAGTCCACACACTCCCACATGCCGGTGCCAGGGACAGCACGAAGCAACCCCTTCTTAAGCTCATAGGTCTTGAAGTCCTCAGTGTCATAAACCAAGGCAATGCCAGTTTTGTTAAGCTTGGATCCTATGGTGATGCGCCACTTTCCTTGGGAGGTGAGCCATGCAGTTGTAGGATCACGAAAGTCCTTAGCACCGATGCCTGGTGGTGGGACCAAAACTGGGTTCCCAGGGTGTTTGATCCAATCCACAAGGAGAGGGTCAGAGGGGTCAGCAGGGTATGCAAGGTTTTGAACTTGCACTGACTCGTTGGTGGAACCTGTGTATAACATGATGATTTCACCATTAGGTAAGATGGTGGCTGAGCCTGTCCACACACCTTGCATGTCATACCATTGATCAGCCACCATTGCCAATGGAAGGTGAAGCCAATGGATCATGTCCCTGGACACAGCGTGTCCCCAAACTATGTCACCCCAAACTGCACCGTTCGGATTGTACTGGTAGAAAAAGTGATACCATCCCTTGTAATACATAGGACCTGAAATGCATAAATTGTAGCAACCATGTCAGGAATGTTTTCACTAATTGTTGAGGGTTCTAAAAGATAACATATTGTGTAATTGAACAAAAGAAGTGAAATTATATATTTTTTGTTTAAATGATTTAAAATGAAAATGAATGTAATTAAATCGAATAGAAAGAAAGTAAAAAGAGATAACATGAAGTGAAGTAAAATGAAACTAGATTCTGTTTAAATTAAATTATTAAAATAAAAGGTAGAAGAGAAAATATGTTTTATTTATTTATTCTATATAAAATATTTTAATAATGAAAATTGATTTAATTTAATTTCCTTTTTTATAAATTTCAACTGCATTTTACGTCATCCTATTTCATTTTATGTTATTTAACTCGTCAAATATACATCCTTATGTGGTCCCTTTCTAATATTTGTTAATGCCAAATTTCCAACGTTGTCGGAAAAGCTATTTGCTTATTGATTAGTAGTAGATAATTTTGTGAGGCTGACTTAATTTCTGATTCAGGATGTCAAAATCTAATTGAACTCCCTGAACTTTAACTCGGTCCCACTATTTATACTAGTACGATGAAGGAGACAATTCCTTATAAATAAATAAAAAAAAACTGAAAATTCAACCCAAAATATGCAAATTTGAAGAAAATTAGCAAGGAATTAAACCGAATTACGCAAACTTTTTAAGCAAGATAGAAGTTTCCTTACCATTAGGATCTGAAGCAGAGCGAATTAGGTTCCCGCATCGGTCCAAGCCACAGTCATCCAACAAAAAAAATAAATAGGGGAAATAGTTAGCTTGAGATGAAATACAAATACAAATACGTACAAACATTCACAATATTTTTTTAATTCATGGGGAACTCTTTTGGAAAAAATACGCTTTTTTATTGGGTGAACTTTGATTTTGATCAATTGCTGTTTTATCATAGGATAGGGCACTTTTTCCAAACGGAATCCTAATCCATATTCCCTTTTCGTTTGAATACAACATAGAGAACATGTCAAATTATCATACCTTACGGAATAAACTATTCAGGCTAATATAATACACAAGTCAAAATTTTCTATCTATGAAAAATTTAATAAAATCCAACGTGTCACCTGAATATAGGTTAGGTAGAACAATAACACGAAAAAAACACGTGTAGAAAAACAAAAAGAATTACCGTTCATCCAGTTTTTCTCTGGCTGGAAATGAAAAGAAGTTCTCTGCCACGACAACATGCTATTGTCCCAAGGAAATGCCTCTGAAGCTCCTCCTTCGCCGGCCAATAACACGCTCGATGACTTCTCCGACACTCCGGAAGAAACACCCCTTGAAACAGGGTACCATTTCTGAGAGGGCACTGATGTGGGACTGCGTTGTTCTTGCTCATGGTTGGATGATGGCGATGAGACGTGAGCATGAGGCACGTTGGAGGCCCTGTACCCCCCAAAGGCGACAAGGGAAGAGAGCAAGAGGAAGCCACAAACGACCAGAAGAAGGTCTTTGCGAGTGCATGGGTTTGGAGCTGCGTGAGAGGATGTGGGTAACAACGGTTTGTGATTATCCATGGTGAGAAAGAAAGGATGAGGGGGTGAGGGAGTTCTCGTGAAAGAAAAGAAGAAAAGAAAGAAAGAGAGAATGGGTATTTGGTTATGTTATGCTATGAGTTGTTGGCAGAAACAGCGTGCATGTGTGTGGGATTGGATTGGGTTGAAAGTGTGCAGAAGCTAGCTAGGTGAATGGTGAGATGATGAAGTGGGACAGTGCGTGAGATGAGAGGATTTTGAATACATTGGCACATTTTATAGGTCTGGGATATCAGAGTCTCGAACAAACCAACGTAACGAGGGATGTCAAAACCAATAAAGACAGATTTTAAGCTTAAATAACCTTATAAAAATATTTGTAAATTATTTATTTATAGAATTTTCATATCAGAAAATAATAAAATAAAACTTGTATACTTTTATAAAATTGACTCTTTCTTATTATTTGGACCACTATTTCTACGAATGTCGTGACATGAAACATGCATAATGTTGGATGAGGTGGATGGGACCCAGGGCGGAGGTTCGGATTCAGACATCTATGTCTGGGACATCACATGCATAATTGGGGTTGAGGGCCCTACAATTTCGTAATGCAATGATTCCTGACTCTTTTTTGTTTTTCTTTGTTCAATGTTAAGAGTGTGTTTTAAATACATTTTGATTTCAAATGTGTTTTAAAAACTTTCTGTATTTGGATTCATGTTTAGTGATAATAATAATTTTAATAACAGTGTTCTTGTTTGCTAAGAATTAAAAATAGAAATCTAACATTTTTTTTAATTAACAACACTTTTGGATGGATACCCAAATTTCAATTTTTTTTAATTCATATCTAAAGTATTAGCTCCCTCTTCAGCGAATAAAGCTTAATTGAATTTTGGTAACTGCTTCTGCAATTATTAAAGAAAACAAATTATTTGATTTTATTATAATTGCATTTAATTTTGATCTTAGAAAGCGATAATCTCTCCGCAACTTTCTATCTATATTTAATAGAATTAAATTAGTTCTTTATAGATCTTTTATTATTTTGGAACTCATTCAATTTAATAATCATTCATATTTTTAATTCATTAAAAATTAAAAATTGTATTCATTATAGGCTCCATCTCAGGCAATTCCATTTTTTCTATTTTGGAATTTTTTTAATTTTGAATTATTGTTGCTTCTGATCATGCTACACGTATAATCAATTGTTTTACTAAAGTTCAACCTAAATTTCCAAACGTGACATAGTGTACTGGGCATAACTGTAATTTCGTTCTGCATTGCCAGCATATTCAAATTTTACCACAACCAACAATTTAATGAAAGGTTAATGTAGTAATGCGAACAAATATTTTTTACATCCCTTGCAAATACATCAAAATTTACAACTTCTATTCATAAAAAAAAAGTATAATTGATTTTTTACACAAAAAAATAAAAAAAAATCCATGAAAAAAATATAATCGTGCAAAACTAAATATTTATTTAACATTAAAAAAAACAGTGACAATTTTCTAAAAAATAATGTTCAAACGACCATGCTCACATCGGAAAATTTGGTATAACGTAAGGGTAGTTGAGACAGTTAAGGTAATAGCACCGTAGTTCTGAAAAGTACTAATAAATAACAGCCCATAGCTCATAGGTCCCACTCAATTTCTTCCCACCATTAAAACTAGTGAAAAAGCCGAAAATAAAAAAGTTGTATTGGAACTCAAGTCATAACAGTGCTGATAGATAATGAAATATAACCAAATAATTGAAGAAGGTTTCATCGATCTACATTATTCTAAATTTAGTTTTGTCAAAAACCTAACTTTTTCTTTTTTATATTATTATTATTTGTATCTGAATCTGATCATTTATAAGTGAATACTGGATAAGAGTAGATCAGAGTATCTTAAATTAAAAAGAATTCAGAATTGATTAGAAAACTAAAATTCGAATATTTTTTTTATAAAATATTAATTTAGATATTCTAATTATTATAATAATAAATAAATTAAAAAATTAAAATAATAAATAAATTTATTTAAAATTAATAAATATTATTTTAATTAATCATATCAATTTTATTTCTTATAATCTTTCTATTTTTTTTTTAATCAAGACCATCTGGGTACATACCATAAATTCATCTGGGTACAAATGAAATTAAAATTTTAATATCTATGAATTGATTTGTGAATAATGATGAAAAACAAAAGTATAACAATAACAAAGGAAGGTTCTATTAATAAACTAATAATAAAATAATAATAAAATAAGATTATAATCTTAAAAATTAAAATGAGACTCATTTTAAAGATTTTATTTTTAGAATAAATTATATTTATAATTATATATAATAAAAATTATTTTTTTAGAATTAATAAATTCTCTACAGATATAAGATTGATAAACACATATATATATATATATATATATATATATATGAATATTTAATTTTTATTTGGATTGAATAATGAATTTTAGAGAATGAAAAATGAGATTATTTAAATTAACAAAAAAATAAATTAATTTGATTAATTAAAAATATATTTTAAAAAATTATAATATAATTAAATCATAATCAATTATATATAAAAATATACATGATCGATTATATATGAAAAAATATTTTTTTTTTAATCTTTCTTCGTTCAAAATGGAGAAAATAAGTTTAAAAAACATGAAACAATTATGATTATTATACATTAAAAAAAGAAATGCAGTTTTCGTTGTATTTTTACGACTCCGTTCTTCTATCTTTGATCCAAACACGCTTAAATTATAGACAAATCGTATTTTAATATTGCAATATCTTATTGGAGCCTAAAATCTAAATGAGTGTTTCATTTTGTATTAAGGCATAATACTCTCAAGTTTTATTACCATATGATTACTACAGAAATACTTTTATAATTATATTAATGATAATTTGATGATTATTTTTATGAATTTTTTACTTTTAATCTCATTTTACTTACATGCAATATTTTGACTTGATGTATTATTTGTTCAAGATCTAGGATTGAATAATTAAAGTGGGTATGGAGTCGCAATTAAAAATACCATCTTATCTAAAAAATTAGCTAATAAAATGTGAAGGGGTTATCTTCTTAATTATACTTCTTTAATACCATAAAACTTAGTTTGGATCTATGATTATTGATTAAGAAATATTTATATAATATTTTTTTAAATTAAAAGTGGGTCTCACCTACGTTTTTTATATAATAAATATTTGTATTGGAAAGTATTTTAACCATGTGAATAAATAATTATTAACTAATTTTTTATTTAATTTTTCTATTTAGCAGTTTGACGTCAACAAATTCCATCTATTATTACAATTGAGCCGCCGAGAACAAGGTGACGGTTTGGCGTTACCAATAATTCGCATTATTTTCCCAAAAACCTAATATATTTATTTATATTGTTATAAGTTAATAAAAAATAATTTATTTTATTTTTTATTACAATTTAAAATTCAAAACAGTCTTAATTACGTTCAATAGACTATATTATTACATTTATAAAATAAATATAATTTAAATTAATAAACAAGGAAGGATAAAATATATAGTTTTAACAAGACTAAAAAATGTTTATTATACTCTGTATATGAAACAAAATCGTAGGAAGCAAGGAAGGAGGAATATACGTTGGATTGAATTGAAAGATGTATTAATTTTGGGGAATCAATTTTCCGTCTGATTCTGAATAACAATGGAATGGGAAGTGTGATGGTTGATGAGTCAGAGTGAGTGAGATGGTTCATCAAGTTGGCACCAATCACATTTCACTGCATACAATAATGCATCTGCCATATGCCAACGCACGTTGCCGTGGCTTTTCTATCCACCAAACGATTTTGTGTCTGTTTTAGGCCACATGTGAAGATCATCATATTACCCCTTCATTAATCCACACATAACGTGCTTCAAAATTTTCTATCATTTTCTTTTTCTTGTCCTTTTTGATTGTGGCTGGAATTGTTTTCCTCCCACCTATCCCTTCAAATAATGTTTCTAATTTTTGTTTTTGGTCAACAATAATGCTTCATTATTGATGATGCCGCAAAAGAAGATTATGCAGACATGACCTAAACCAGATCTTAGCTTGGCTCTCCCTCTGCATTACACCGCATCACTGTATGTCCTATCAATCTGGTTTAACCTAAACTTAATTATGCATGTGTTCACAATCCACGTGGACCAAATGGGTGGCTCTGCAGATTCCACTTGTCCCTCCCACATCATCATTTGATGTTGTTAGATTTATTCAATAATGTTTGATTACATGATCCTCCTAGCACAAGCTAATCACGACAATATTAGGAGCGCATAACCTGATTGTTTATGTTTCAGTATCAAATGAAAAAAAATACATTATGATTTTTGTAAATTATTATTATGTTCATAATTTTTTTCTTAATTTATAAATAAACTATATAATTATAGTTATATTTTTAATAAATATATTATATATAAAATATAATATAATTATAAAATAATTTTTATTAAATGATAATATATAAAATTATATTTAAATATACTATATCATCTGATTAAGTTTATTTCAATTTTTAACTTTTAATCAAAATTCTAACTAAACTTTATGAGTGTAATAATTAAAAAGCAAAAGGATTATGTTTGAAAATATTAAACTGAATTTGAAAGAAGGAAGAAAAAGTACAATATTTTATTATAATACATACATGGAAATAAAATAATTAATATCAGATGTTAAATTTATAAATTAATATATTCATAATATTTTTAAAAAATAGACAAATGTACAAAAAAGCGACCCTTCATGATCTTTCAAAGTGGTCTAAGAAATGAATTTTGTGTCACATCAAGTACAATTTTTTGGAACCATATATATAAATATAACCTAAGAAAAATGTCAAATATAACCTAAGAAAAATGTCAAATATAACCTAATTAGGACTTTAAAAGATTAAATAAAGATAAAAAATTTAGTTTTAACCACTATAATAATGAATATTCTTAATATTTAAATGTTTTACCAGAAATACATGATTATAGTTCTAATTTCAAACCTAAAGTGTAAAAACTAAAATATATTAGTTTTATACAGAGCCCAAAATCAATTTTTTTTTTAAGATCTCATATATTTATTTTATGTAACTTTGAATTTATAATTAAAAAAGAAGGCAAATTTATAGTTCATATTTTATGGTTAATTTTGTTTTAAAAGTGTATTAAAGAGGGACAAAAAAGGTTCATTAGTGGGACCCTGTGCAAGTGTAGAGATGGAGATTCATGATAAATTTCCAACCCAGGTATGTGGTGGGGGTTAGCATCTTCCACACACTACTTCACAGTGTAATAAATGTTGTTTATTTATTCTCTATTTTCTACTTCTTGTTGGACTTATATGAATCATCAAAACAAGTTTTAAGTATGTTTGATTGAGGTGCATGTTTAGACATTTGAAATTTATTAAAAAAATTGGTAAAACCTTTATCACCACCCTTCTAGACAGAACACCTTTCATTTATATTCTTTTTCTCTTATATATGTTTGTTTTTTTTAGAATTTATTCAGTTTATTATATATATATATATATATATATATATATATATATATATATATATATATATAACAACAGTCTTGTCCATAATATTTCAGATTATTATTTAGATTCTTAAATTTCAGATGATTAGTTATTAAGTTGTTATTAATAATTTTTTAATTGAATTTAATCACTTCATAACATCAACTTAACATGGACTTTTGATGAGTATTAAAGATTGAATAATACAAATATTTAGTTCTTAATTAAGTCATAAACTTTATTTACAATTTGTTCCAGAGTAAATTTATCATATATTTTTTAAACACTCTTATGAACTGATAAAACTACATAAAGCTAAACATTTATAATATATTTGCAATTCTTAACTGAAGGTTGATTTTTGTATTGTATTTGATTATTTCAGTAGGACATTATTGTTTGTTTTAATATTTATAAACACTCATTTATATGATTAGTTGATCAAATATTTTTCACATAATTTAGAACAAGAGGTAAGGATAATGCGTAAGGGGTGTTAAGCGTAATGTTTCTCAAATAATTAAAGAGTAAAAGAAAATAGAAGTATTGAAAGGATTTGACATAAACGTAAATAAATGATTTGTTTATAAGAAACAAAAGAATCTCCTCATTTTTCCGTAGAAAGAAGAAAAAACATCTAAATAAAATGTAATATAATATTTTATTGTTTAATTAGTATTAAAATATTATAACGAAACAAAACTTAAGTTTAATTATAGTATGTTAATTTTTGTATGAAATTCTTATCTATAATATACTTTAAATAATATAATATAAAATGTAGTATAATATTATTTTTATAAAATTAGCATTAATTTAATGTTAACATAAAAATAAAATTAAGTGTAATTATAAATTTGTATGAAATTATCACTTATCATATATTACAAAAAATTGATAGAAAATATAGTATAATATTAATTTATGAAAATAGTATTAATTTAATATTATAATATTATAATTGAATTTTAATTATAATTCATTAAATTATATATGAAATTGTTATTTATAATTTAGTATAAAATACAGTATAATATTATTTTATGACATTTATGTTAATATAAAAAATATTGTAATGAAAATATATTTAAGTAAAATTATAAGATGTTAATTTTGTTATGAAAATTTGTGTTGGTAGTTAAATTCTAAAATTTTCTTTTTATATTTTTACAATTTAGCATGTAATTTATTTTATGACAATATTTAAAATTAATGACATAGACTAAAATAATTTAGTTAACTAATCATGTAAACCTATATTCAGTTATAATTTTCATTAATCACATTTTACAGTAATTTAACTATTGATTTAATTTTATTAATTTTCATCATGGACAATTATATGTAATTTTTTTCATCTAAATAATATTTTTTTTACAATTTTTTTACTTTTATTTAAATTAACTTTAAATAACCATATTTTAATTTTAAATAATTTTATCAAGTCAAAGTGTAATTTTATTTTATTTAATATTATCATCCACAATTGATTTTAAATTATTTTCTACCAATTCTATTTCATTTTAACATAATTTACACAAATTACATTTTATTTTAAATTACTTTTTAAACACAAGGTAAAATTATAATTTTACAATTTTATCACTTATTTTTTTTTAATCTATCAAACCCATCAAACCATTCATAAACTTTCTCCTCATTTTCCTTTATTTGTCATAATTTTTCTTTTAATCTAAATAACTCTACTTTTACTTCTCTTTCCGCTCAGATTCACTTTCACTGTCTCAAATCCAAACATAAGCCAATAGAGTTTTATCTTTTTTTTTTTCTTTTCTTATTTCTAAAGTAAAGACTTAAGTAGTTTTCTATGAAACTAATGTTTTTATTTTATTTTATCTGAGAATTTTTAATCAAAGTTTGTTTTCCTATTTTAATTATCCATTCTCTTTCTTTATAACTTATAGAGGCTTGATATGTTTCTTTCATCTTTTGGTTACATTTTTTTAAAATATTTATTGAGGACTTAATCTCCTAGAGAAAATTGATATATCTAACGAGTAAATTTTGTATAAATATTACAATAAAAATGCTTCCTTGTAGAGAAAATTGATATATCTATTAAGTAAATTTTGTATAAATATTATTATAAAAATATTTTTAATATCTATAGAGTGAATTTTGTATAATAAATAGTATTTTTTATCTAAGACAACGACAAAAATAAGTTAGACTTTAACTCACGATACTATGTCAATATTTTAACATAAAATTAATTGACAATATCAAATAACCTAACAAATATTTAAATCATACAAATAATATAAATTAGACGATACTGAGATTTTCAACAAATAATTTTTTTTATATAGATAACCATTTAAAAGAATAAAGCCAAGAACAAAAATATATGATAAACAAACCAAATTTTGATGATAGGTAGGTATCTCAACTTAATCCATTTCTACCCATGCCCATATCTAATGAATTCAATCCGGAGGGCTTAACCTCTAAATCAAATAATTAAATCTAAATATAGATTATGATTAGTTATAAATTCATTTTATCTTGTAATCAAATATCATTTTATATGATTCGACGAAGCCAACTCAAATGTGACCACTTTTCAGAATATATTTATCACATTTTGAAAAACAAATTTCAAAATGAGTGGTTTAAGAAATTGGTGAATAAGTCAGATCTTAGGTATACTTGGAGGGTTGATTATTGTGCATTACTATGATTAAGTCTGGATTTATTTGAAATTAAAACTTATATAAGCTCCGGAATTTTACGTGAATGGTACACCAAAGATAGACAGTATAATAATCTCTCTCTAAAAATGATACGAAGACAAATGCAACTGCAACAAAAGAGAAAAGATATAACAAAATGTGCATTCAGAAACCGCGTGCTTTACATCGAGGAAATTGTTCAAGAGTTCTTCAAAGGTCAGGGGGGAATTAAAACAACGGAATATTCCCTTCATCTGTTGAGTATTGCGTTTATTCTATCAGGCAAAATACTCTAGTGCGACATAAAGAAGTCAAATCATACATTTGGTGGTGGCCAAATTTTCCCAAATAAATCTTCCACCCGCTTTGCTTGATCAGCATGGCCATCCAGTCCAGCAGCCAGAAGCTGCAAAGCTGCAGGCCCCATGGCATTTGCCAGGCTATCTTTGTCCCATTTAACAAGCTGCATATAATGAGTGCAAACTTATTAGTAAAGCAATCCGGTTAATGAGCAAATTTGACAACTTCAGAACAAAAACGAAATTTTATAAAACTATCTTGCTGATGATTGAGGTGGCAAAGGAAACTGAGATAGGTGTTAGTGTAGCATAACATAGATGACTAACATTTCCTATTACATAGTCAATGGCACTGATAGAACCCATAAAGTGACTGACGGAAGTTAGGGTCAGTTGATTTCGGTGTTCCTGTGCATGTTGATGGGATATATTTTAATACCTAGTTGAACTAACCACATTACAGAACAGACAACATGGAGTTTGAAGTTGCTCTACATCTAATAGTTTTTTTATTTTCCAATTGCGAAAAGAAGCAATGGGCATGCCATCATTGTTGTGGAATTATGAGGTTGACGGACATATATTGATACCAACTTAATTTTGCAGTTTCAAAAAAGAATTGCTACTTGGTTAACGAGAAAAACAAATGACGTCAGAAGCTGAAACCATACCTCTTCATCACTAAATGTGTACTGTGCAGCAGACTGAGGGGATAACCTCCTAACAAAAGAATACTTCTCGTCAGGAGAAGCAACAGATTCTTTGAGAGACTGCAATACCTTTAAAGGAGCTATGATATAGTCAACCCTACACAAGGAGGAAAAAGCAAATAAATTGATAACATATCATCAAATAAAACTTCAATCAGGTATTAAATTGGATCTGACTGAAAGGAAGTGTTTGAATACCCCAGAAGACTAAATAGATCTTGTTTGTTGCGAACTGCTGCTGCCATCAACTTTGACTTATGTCCATATTTGTGGATATAATTGTAAGCTTTCGTCACCTGAAACAATAATAATGATTTCAAGCATTGGCTTTGTTGGTGATTGTCATCACTATTTTTAGCAAAGATCTGATTCTTGCAAGAGCCAAGCTGTTTTCCGCAAGTCATTACTACCAATATAACCGACTTAAACTGTGATAAAAGAAATCTACCCTTCTATTTCTACCTTTGTCACCAGAAGCTCTATAAGTTAATTTTCACAAAAGGAAGCATAAATTTAAATTCTAAGAATAGATCAATAGACATGAACAAAAGAGTAATATTGAAGAGCATACCAATGCCAGCCCTGGATCCTCTCCTCTTAGCTGGGCAGATTCTATCTCTGTGTCGCCAGAATGTTTACGTGCCCAATCCTGAAAAATTACGAAGTTTAAATAGGATACGCTAAATACGAAGTTAAACACTATTATGACACAAATAAAGGTAGAAATTACCCTTATGCGACCAACAAAAATTTGAATAACAGATGCACCTGCTTGAGCTGCAGCAGCGGCTTGAGCAAAACTGAAGATGTAGAACCAAACCATAGAAAGAAAAAGAATAAACAAAATAAAAATAACTCAATTCAAACGGAATAACACATAACCACTAGATCCAAGGATACAAACTTAGATGTTTTAATTTTGATGGGCAAAAATCTTCACATCAATAACCAGTATCCTAACATGTAATTTTCATAAAAGCTAATAATTCCTTTTCCTTTTGACTTAACCAAAAGCAGAACATTTCACAAAATTTCTAATAAGAGAACATGATGCCATGCTTATAGCATTAGCTATCTCAAATTGATAGTCCAGAGTCCAAAATGCGTAACGATTGTACTTCTAACAAACAATGACTTCAATTGAGCATATTCTTTAGGATAGGTTTCCTTCATCCGCAGAAAATATTAAAACATAAAGACAATGGTCAAGAAAAAAAATCATAAACAAACTAGCTAATATTTTAAGCAATCCAAATTTAACATCTAGAACTTGTAGTAATGAAAATTCAGTATTTTTTTTTTCCAATCCATAAAATTTCAGTCTTCAGTGGAAAGATGCCTTTTAGTTTTCTATTTATGGGAATATGGTTAGGACATTGTATTAATTTATATATTCTAGAAGGTCTGTTACAGGGATTGCTTTTCATTTATTGTTTGAAGATAAGGATTTACTTATATCCCCAGATTCGAAGCTATTATGTGCACTCAACCTAGTAAAGAATTAACATTGCTATGGAATAATGATATCAAATATAAAGATTCTGCTGAATAAAAGAAGCATCTGATGATGACACCATTTTGGGATTAATAAAAAACAACTGCAAAACTGCGCCCTTGATAATAGTGAACAGACGTATCAGGTGAATAAAATTCGTTATGAATTTAGCTACAAAAATAATAGATGTGCTAATTTTACTTTTTTTCTTACAATGGAACAAAACAGAATATACCATCAAAAGATTCCTGAGGTTTAGAGATAACATTTGCAATGTATTAAGAGCAGTCAAAAAAGAAAATTTTATGTGCTACACAATATGAAAGATCCAAGCCTTTAGCACTATGGCATCCTTCATGTATTAACCTAGAGCTTTCTGCAAAATATCCAACAAAATTACCTGTAGACAAAGGTCAAATGTGTTTGTATGCCTTCAGATTCCAGCAAGCTTGCAGCCTCTATTCCCTAAATAGAAAGTAAACAAGCCACCAGTACATGAATAAAACATCAGTCTTTCTGGGTTCAGCTGGCACTACAAATCTATATTTCAGATTACTCACTTGCCAAGTTGAAGGAATTTTAAACAATAGACGTTGTGGAGGTACATTGCTATCATTGTACAACTTTAACAGGTCATGCACCTGTAGAATTTGATAACAGTAAGCATCAGATATCACCAAGTCACAACATATATGTTTTTTGTCAGGACAGATATGGTAACTGTAATGAGCGACAAAGATCTCAAAATGTGAAGCTTGTTTCTAAAAAGTTTAGCAGCCATTTACAGCTTAGAATTTATAGAGAAAGGAGACATGGAAAAGAGAGAAACACCTATCTCCTCAGTTTGGGCATTGCCTACATGAGAGTGATGTGCAATCAACTAAAACAATTGTTTTCCTACATCTGGTGCAAAAATCGAAGCTGTTTATAGCTCTTACTCATAATTAGTATAGACAAGTTAATAAGAACTATATAATCCTGAGAAATTACAGGACCTAAGACTGAAGCACTGAAACTACAAGAGTATTCAACATGGTAATGAATTTTCATAAAGAGTAGTCATGAAACATGCCAAATACCTTCCTGATAATGGCGTGTGTGTCATAAGCAAGCCGAGCATCCACTTCCGTGGAAACACGGCCAGGAACAAGCTTTGCCATGTCACTACCCACATTTGCGAAAGCCTACAATTCCAGGATCAAATCCACAAAACAACCATGGATAGATAGACTACAATGAGCTTCACATGTTATCATTTAATCAAAACTAAAATGAAAAACAGAAACAAATACCTTGTTGACAAAACAAGACAGTCGCGCTTTAGAATTTTCAATTCCATAACACTCAAAATCAGCCAAAGCCATTTCCACAGCATTCTATAACAATAAAAAAAAAAAAAAAAAAAAACGCGTAATCTCAAGTAGACTCAGATCAAAATGCACGAGTTAGATTTCCCCAAGATTGAAATGCACGCGTTACCCTAAAAACAGTGTCTGGAAGGCCACATATTCCCAAGAGAAGCGATGAACTGACAGTAGCAGCAGTTGGAGGAAACCTGCAGCAGCACACGTAGGCTCATAAATTAATCATCAGATCAAAACTGAACCAAATTGCATAACGAACGAAGCAAAAACAATAAAACGACGTCACTTTTGGAAATCATCGAAGACGACGGTGTCGGGGACGATCTCGCTGAAGGCGGACACGGCATCGAGTTCATTGGTGGAAACTGCAACAGAAATTGCGAAATAAGAGAGAAAAGGAAAGCGCGAAATGAAGAAATGAAGGGAGCATAATCATGAAGTGGTGTATAATATGATGAAATTATGAATTACCGGTATTGATAGAAGAAGCGGAAGCGCGAGTATGAGAGAGGCACCTGTGGGACTTGAAATGGAGAGTTGTGGGGGAAAGCGTGGAACGAAGCGAGAAGGAGAACGTGGATCTTGTTGTTGTTCTGTGAATGGAAGATGCAGAAGAGAGAGCAGCAGAGGACGGAGTTTGCAAGGTGAGTGACATTTTGGGATTAGAGATTAAGAGGCTGAACTCAGTCACACTCATCCATGGTTACCACTCCTGAATTAATAACTAACGGAAATAGGACAGATCCAAATCCAAAACCACGTTCACCTCCCTAATTTTGGACACCATCATGTAAGATTTTTTTATTTATTTTCTTCTTTCTAGTACATATCTTTACCACACTTAGTAATAACCTCCTATTAAATTAGCACTAATTTGTCTTTCATCGTTGTGAAAAAAAAAAGTGTGATACTTATAAATTGCTAGGTAGTCCCCAGTGACAAATTTAAAAATTCTCTAGTCCTTAGAACTTTAACACAATAGTAGCAGTTCCCTAGAAGAAAAATATAATTTAAATTTTAGATGAAAAATTACTAAGTAATTAAATAGAGTAGTTGATATTAAGTCTAATTACTGAGTTTTTTAATAAATAAAATAAATTTATTCCTAATTTAATTTAACAAACTACAAAATTTCAACTTTATGACTAGAAATAAATGAACAATTATAATTAAAATAAGTAGTGAGATATTAAAAAAGTTGAAGATTAAAATTTTATGATAGAAGTAGCTAATTCAATGAGTAATGCAAGTCAACATAGCAACCAAATCTAGTTAATCGTGATTTACACACTTAAATACAAGTAAAAATGGATAAGACAGTTGTAAATAGTAGCACTATAAAGTGAATAAGATATGACGGCATTTATTTAAAGTTGACTCCAAAATGTTAATAATGAGATAACACTGCTAGCCTGATTTTCTAATGAAATATGTTAATCTTAATACTTGTATAATTTATACAATTTAAACTTTTTCTCATAGCTCATTAGGTAATTATTAAATATTTTTAATCTCCTTTATCAATTTAATATTACAGTAACAAAATTTCGTAATTAATTACATCTACTGTTTTTTGTTAAAGCTCACATCTATGTGTAACATTTTAAAGAGCATTTCCTAAACAAATAGGTTTATGAGAAATTGAAACGTCTATTTCTCTATTTAATTTAGTACTTAAAAATATCATCATAAATTAAGATTTTTTTAGGAAATGTTTTTATTTATATTTATTAGAAAAAGGATAAAAGTTTTAATACTAAAAAAATGTCTATTTTTATATATATAAAAATGTGAGATCATGCATAAATTATATTATACTTGAAATTTAGTTTATTTTGTGAGTTATATCTTTTTAGTGTATAAAAATGTTATTATTGTATAATTTTTTTTATATTCTTTTTCAAATAATAAGAATTTTGTTTTCTTGGTCATGTTATATATAACCTTTATCTTTAATGGCGAGAAGTATCAATGTCATGAAAGATGACTACTCCAATCCTCTTTTCCTTCATCTCTATGATAATCCATCTTCAACCATGGTGTCTCCGCCTTTCATATAATCAAATTGAAGATCTTGGATCAAAGCAATGTGAATGACATTTAAAAAGAAAAATAATCTTGGTTTAATTGATGACTTAATTTCAGAATCACCTATGATGATGATTGAAGATCTTGAATATTTGATGAAATAATCGATTAAAACCACTTAAAATAGTGTAAATATGTTCTATCACAATTTTAATTGATACATATTCGAAATAATCGATTAAAACAACTTAAAATAAGTGTAAACATGTTCTGTCGCAGTTTTAATCGATACATATTCGAATTAATTGATTAAAAATACTTAAGAAGCTTTAGAAAATGTTCTGTCAGTGTTTTAATCGATTAAACTTTGAATTAATCGATTAAAATCACTTAAGGATTTTTGAGTAACTGTTTTAATCGATTAAACAACATTTTTATGAGTTAAATATTTTTGGAAAGAGTTGTAGAATATTTTAATCGATTAAATGATATTTTCATCAGTTAAAACCGTTAAATTCAAGTTATTTTAATCGATTAAAAGACGTAATAACTGATTAATTAAACAAGTTTGTTAGAAAAATCTCTATATAAACAAATTTGCTTCAACATTGTAAAATATGTTAGAATCGCGCAGCGGAATGTTCGCGTGGTCGGACAAAAACCAAGAGGGGGGGTGAATTGGATTTTTAATAAAAATTAGGTTTTCAAAATTTTCCCCAAATTTTACCGATTAAAAACTGCGTAAATGTAAATAGAGAAGAGTAGAGAAGATTACACAGTAGGTTTATATTGGTTCGGATCAAAAGACCCTACGTCCAGTTGCTAATCACTCAAAAGAGGATTAACGCTGTCACTAAGAACAAATTGTTACAAACAGATTACAAATGAACGAGATAAAGATCGAGAAAACACCTCTCTTGAAATCCACAAGAGATGAAGAACAACTTTCCCTAGAGACGGCACAACACACAATCCACTAAGAACTCCACTTAGTGATTCTTATCGCTTCTAGCCTCACACCAGGTTCCAAAAGCCCCTTTCCTTGCAACAAACAGTTCTCTGGCACTCACGACACTTAACTTTTGTATGGAAAGAGTTGTTCTTTTTTTTTAGTGCCAAAGAAGAGTTTAAGTAGGGAAATTAGGGTTTAGGAATTGGGGATTTCGAAACTAGGGTTCTTGGTAATTGGGTTTTCGAAAATAGGGTTAATTTGAAATTTAAAATGAAAAACAGATCGAAATAATCGATTATTTGGAGTGATAATCGATTAAAACAGAGCCAAATATGTCGAACCCAAACCTCTCTGGATTAATCGATTATTTGGTGAAATAATCGATTATCTAGTACGGATCAGTACAAAATAATCGATTATTTTGCTTGTTTTAATCGATTAAAACAGTGACTTAGTATAGAAAGTGATTTTCTCACTGTTTTAATCGATTATTTACCTATATAATCGATTAAAGCCGAGCCTGCATGATAAATTTGAGCATTTTGAAGCTTCTAAGTTACAGACTATGTACCGGCTATCTTAGACTCTAAAAATACAGACTCAATCTTAAATAAAACAGAGTTATTACAATACAATTATCACCAATCTTCAATCTTCAATATTCTAAGTCTTTAGTTCTTGGATCATCATCAAAATCCATTCTTCATATTCATCAAGTGCAACATCAAGTCCTTGAATTGGCAACAATCTCCCCCTTTTTGATGATGATCAAAATTTTCTTTTAAAGCCCTTTGTAATAACCTGTTTTATCTGTCATACTAACAAACACATTAAACATACCAGATAAAATTTAAAATTGAATCATAGGCTTTAAATTTTTCTCCCCCTATTTGATTATAATCAAAAAGAACTCTGCAACATCAATCATAAGAGCTCCCCCTCAAAATATGCATAAGTTAGAGAAAACTCCCCCTCAATCATAGCATGAAAGAAACATCGTATTTTATTTCATAATCATTCATCTATTACAACATCAAGACAATAACAGAAGAAAATACATCAATTATCTCTATATCTGACAGCTTTAATCGATTATTTTTAGCAAATAATCGATTATCAGAGACATTTAATCGATTATTTCATGAAATAATCGATTATTCCAGAGGAGAATACCCTGTTTTGGACATTTTGAGGAAAAATAATCGATTATTACTTCCGATGAATCGATTATTCCGGAGGCTATATCAAGTTTTTGAGATTTATATGCATAATAACCTATGAACATGCTACACCACGAATTTTAACATAACAATCATCCAGAAATAGTCAAATTAAGCAGAATTTAAGCTATTTCTAATATCCCTAAGTCTCTTCTAAGATCATAGAATCTATCCTTTGGTAGAGGCTTAGTAAATATATCTCACTAATTGACGTTTAGTGTCTACATACTCTATCTTACAGTTTCCTTTCTCGATGTTATCTCTTAAAAAGTGATGTCTAATCTCAATATGTTTAGTCCTAGAGTGCATTACTTGGATTCTTAGTTAGGTTGATTGCACTCGTATTATCACACATTAATGGAATGTCATTTAAATATATGCTATAATCCTCTAATTGTTGTTTCATCCACAGAATTTGAGCACAACAACTACCAGCTGCAATATATTCAACTTCAGTGGTAGATAAAGCTACACATGCTTGTTTCTTAGAATGTCATGATATTAAGGATGAACCCAACAAATGACATGTCCCACTAGTGCTTTTCCTATCAATTTTACATCCACCATAATCAACATCGAATATCCTAATAAACTAATACAAGCATCGGACGGATACCACAAGCCAAATCCAAGTAGTTCCTTTTAAGTATTTTAAAATATGTTTTACCGCAATTAGATGAGATTCTTTAGGACAAGCCTCGAAATCTAGCACACACACGTACAAAATGCATAATATCGGGTCTACTAGCAGTTAAGTATAATAGTGATCCTATCATACCTCTATACATAGTTTGATTTACTTCCAAACCTGATTCATCCTTGTCTAAATAGCATGAAGTTCCCATGGGTGTGTTAGCTTCCTTTGAGGTGTCCATACCAAACTTTTTTAGGATCTCTTTGCAAGTACTTAGTTTGAGAGATGAAATTGCCATCTTTAAGTTGCTTGATTTGTAGTCCAAGGAAGAATGTCAATTCTCCCATCATAGACATTTCAAACTCTCCTCGCATTATCTTAGCAAATTCTACACATAACGAATTATCAGCTTGATCCAAAAATTATATCATCAACATATACCTGGACCAATAAGATATGTTCTTTAACTTTCTTAATAAACAAGTGTAGAATCAATTCTTCCTCTTGAAAAATCATTTGCAGTTAGGAAACTACTTAATCTTTCATACCAAGATCTAGGAGCTTGTTTTAACCCATATAATGCTTTCTTTAATTTGTAAATATGATTAGGATTATTAAAATCTTCAAATCCAGGGGGTTGCTCTACATACACTTCTTCTTTGATAAAACCATTTAAAAATGCACTCTTAACATCCATTTGATATAATTTAAATTTCATCATAGATGCATAAGCAAGAAGTAGGCGTATAGCCTCTAACCTGGCCACAGGAGCATAAGTTTCATCATAATCTATACCTTCCTCCCGACAATAGCCTTTTGCA